AAGTTTTAGTTGGAATATCATATCAGGATATAAAGAAGGACAAACGCAGGAGAGCTGTGATTTTTATATTAATAACCCAATCTGGGACCATCCTATAGACTTGCATTATACAACTAAAACTTTACAAAATTCTCCGAAACTATTATTGCAAGTGTTTTGCAGAGATAATTATGAAAGAATACTATTTCTTTCATATGGAATATATAATGTCCCATTGTCACCTGGTTCGCACATATTAGAGTGTCATACTTGGAAACCTGTTGGTACATATCATTGAAATATACGAAATTTTACAATTTTATAGAAAAACNNNNTTTTTATTAAAATTAATAATAAAAATTCGTGTGCAGGTAATTGGAAAAACAGACTTGAGGAGAAATTCTTAGGAAAAAGTTTACAATTAAAATCTCCAAATGTTCTAATTAATACGGTGGATAGATTTGAATTGCTTACACAAAGTGTGGGAACAGTGATCATCCATTTGCATATACTAGCAAGAAATTTTGACAAATTTGGATGTCATTTGTGAACTAACTTAATGCGATACAATTTTATGAGTAATTTACTACCAACAGTAAAAAGTAAACTTACACAAATAATAAAAAAAAGTTTACCAAAAATAATATTTCTATCTTTCTCTCTAAAAAAAATTTAATTTTAAACAGACACATTCTTGTGATTATATTTACAAAATATTAACAATTTGCAGCAATGTTTCTCTTGCTACTGCTATTTATAGCATTTATCAATGTAGCATATGTGGCAAAACTTGAAGATATATTACCCTGTATCAGTAATACAGGTTGTAATGAATCAATAGATTCAGCTATATATGTACAAGGTTCTAAAGATGATGATTCAGTAGTAGATGATGCAACAAATGATACTGAAGAGACCGATCCACAAATGGCTATTTCTACAGACATAATCGTATCTGAAAAGTTAAATGCAACGGAGCAACCTGAAATACAGTCAACTGTAACAACAATTTCTTCACCAGCTTTTAATACGCCTTCAAATGATGATAAAGTTCTCAAATTTGAGAAGACAGAGTTATGCGAGTGTAATTTGATTGTACGCATTAATATTCAACTCAATGTAAAATGGTTGATTGCTATGTGAATAATAAAAAAAAACTTATTATACATATGCATGCACACTTTCAAGATAGCACACAATGTCCAAATTTTATTGGTTTTCATTTAGTCCAAACGTCCATAGACGTAATTTGTACATTTTCAGAACGTATATTATTGGACATAAAAATATATATGCATTTCAAATATTAAAATGCTCACTTTATACATTTATACTCTGAAAAGTTCTCTTTATACAACAGTTGTGAAATTTCCTTGGCGGTGTTTAATAGAAACTCTTATTAAATATTTCATCTAACAATTAAGAAATACAAAATTACAGATAGGAAAGATAAAGAGATACTTTTTTTTTTTAATAATAAACGCGATGATATAAAACTATATATGCAGGGCGGACCAAAAACCTGAATAGAGTCGAATATCTCGTAAGCAAAATAATTTTGAA